GGAAAGCTGCTCACAAGCTCGGCCAGTAGGGGGCTGGAGGCTTTGTTGTGGACTCTGTGCTACAGGCACCATCTCTTCTTTCCTTTGATTTGCCAACTTCTCTGTTGTGAGACTTCTAAGGAGGTTGCAAGCAGCCCCCCTTCCACTCCCTTTGCCCTCAAAGAGGGGTTTTCCCAGGGGAAGCGTGACATCATGCCACCTCTCCCTTGTACATCACACCTCTCCTCACAACTGCTACCTACTCATGATACTGGTGTTAAAGGAAAAGCTTCCTCGCTTGGCTCCTACAGGGAAAGCTAGCATCACAGTCACTGCCAGGGCAACACCCTGTGAGGAAACCCACACAGGGTTAGGACATCAGGGTCAAAAAGCAGAGAAGCTAAGTTGGGAGTTGTTAGCTTGCATCTAAACTTAAACTCCCTTCAACTGAACCCACTTGCACATATTTCTCATTATCTGAAATTAACCACTGCCTCCACTTTTAGACAAGAAAACTGTGAGCACAGCTGAGAAGCTATCACAGAAGGGCAATGAGTGACTGGGGCATGACAGGAGGAGGCTCACTCTCCCCACATCCAATACGGTGCAGGCTGAAGTCAGAAGTGCAGAGCTCCAGAGACCTGCAACCACAAACAAACATCCACAACCGGAAAGTACCGGTAACAAAGTACAAGCACTTACAGCAACGCTAGTTTTAAGCGCTGCCCAAATGGAGTGAGCAGGAGCTATGCTCCGGCTGGTACATGTCTGGGTTCAAGCCATCCCAGTCTTGATGAAACGTGTGCTCCCTTCTGAACCTAGCCATTGCAAGTGTGTACATGCACAGTTGCTCCTTTGAGGACTCTCACAGGAGAGTCTTTACTTTAGATTCCCCCAGTTGTTGTTCAGTGGGAGCAAAAAGACCAGAACTATGCCTGCCCCTGCACTGTCTCCTATAGGATGCTGCTAAGGCAAGGACACAGAGCATTAAATAGCACAGATATGCCAGGCAATAAGCCCTTCCCTAGAGGCACCAGCTCTGGGGGGCAGGTGAAATTTCAGGCTCCGTGTCTGGGAGTCTTTGGCCTCTCTGCTGAGACTGCTAACAAAGAGGTCAATTAGTACTATCTCAGTGGAAAGGGAGAGTGAGTCTCATAGGCAAGATGACAAGCAGGCAAACACTTCAGACATCTGAGCCAGTGGGGCTCTGCCCAGGATACTTCCTGCCCCAAGCTCTGTCCAGGTTGTGCTCTCCCCAGCGAGTCTCCCGTGCTCTTCAGCGTCATGCTGGGAGAACCTGAGCTGACAAGGCTCTGGTGTCCATGCAGTTCCCTGGTTGCAGTGCATTGATCAGGGCTCTCTTAAAGAAAGAGGCCTGGATATCTGAGACACCTATTGATCGCTCACTCGGCTCCCTTCCTGCCTGTTTCTCGTTCACTTTCTGCATTGCCATAACAAACCTACACTGCTGCGTTCAACCAAAGGAAGATCCTGCTGGATCTTAAAGGGGCAAAGTCCCAGAAGGGAGCCTAAGCTTGCTCCCACAATAGGATTCTTGCCAAATGTTTCAAGTTGAGTAAGACAAGGATCGGAATTACCCCACCTGTGTGTGTCCTCGCTGCCTATTGCTCCCAAATATCCCTTCTGTTTGAAGCTAAGGCTGAACCCAGGAAGCAGAACAGTCTAAGTACATAATACATGCAAAATAACTAGGAAAAGGCACATTTCCCTTTTCATAGCAGTTGCTGGCCAAATATAACAATAGTATCCCACCCCTTCTATGAGCAAGGTCAGCATCTGTACACACAACTGTTACAGTGACTGGCCCACAGGCAGTCAATGAAGGAGCCATGAACAGAACTCAGGGACGCTAACTTTAACTACAAGACCATCCTGACTTTGGGTACTCACTCCACAGTTTGCCAGCAGCCAGAGGCAGGGGGCAGGGAACATGCTAGCAGCCTTTTGAAATTTCTGAAGGCAAAGGAAAGAGAGGAGTTATCTGGTGCAATATAAGAGGATGGAATAGGGGGAACTAGAAATAATTAGACGAAATTAATAAAAAGGCAAAAACAAAGCTGGGCTTCTTCCCAGTGAGCTCTATGAGATGAAAGAGTGATCTTTCCAGGGAAGCCTCATCACATGAGACTTTTAAAACCAGATTGGATAAAGCACTAGAAAACATACAAGAGACCACTCCCGCTTGGGCTGGGAGATGGCGTGGCTGATCTCACAGAAGGATGGAAATCAGAGGTGGGAAAGACCAATGACCCCTTTATAATCTTAAATCCCTCATCAGTTCTGCATTTTTGAGCGGAAAGTTAAACAATTATGGATTTGCTCTTTCCAGAAACTCCTGACTGTGGAGACCAAGGGCCATAAAACCATTTTTTCTCCCTTTTTGGATTTTGCTTTTAAAGATGTGTATTGATTGAATTCTCAATAATAATACTTTGCACTTCCACAGGGCTTAATATAAATTAACTAATCCATCCTCAAAATCCCTCCACAAAACAGTTTGGTGTGACCCTCATTTCACAGATGGGAAAATAGGCAGAGAGAGAAAGAAAGAACATGCCCTAAAAATCAGTGTTTCTTAACCTTTTTTGTACCATGGCCCATTTGTAAACATCAACAGCCAGTCCTGACCCAGTGCGCCTCACTCCCAACCCACTACCCCCCATCCCCAGGACCCAGCCCCCCCAGTATGTGGAGCAGGGGGTGGATGAGTGGGGCATGGGGTGGCTCCAAGTAGCCCCTTGCAGGCTGGAACTCTGCCAGCCTGCAAAGGAAAAGCCACCATTTCCCATGTTTTTCTCCTTTAAAGGAGATTCTATTTTTAAAGCTTGTTGATCCATTTTGAAAGTTTATTCATGACCCTTTCATATACTCTTGTGACCCACTTTTGGGTTGTGACCCATGGGTTAAGAAATGCTGCCCTAAATCATACAGCAAACCAGTGTCAAAAGCAGCTGAGAACTCAGGAGCCCTGTGACCTGTCACTAGGTCTGGCTTCCCCTCCCCACATATATTTTTCTATGGACATCTATCATAGTCCTGTCAATACATCTTTATGTTATATACTCTATACCAGGTATATGCAACGTTTTTTGGCTGAAGTACCGAAAAAAACACAACGTCTACCTTGGAAGGTGCCAGAGTGCCAACATGCTGGAGCCCAGAGCAGCTGTTTGCAGCCAGCCCACAAAGCCCAGTCTGCTGGCAGCAGGGCTTGCAGCCTCCCAGCTGCCTGCTGGGAACAGCCTGGGCTCCATGGCTGGCAGCAGCTGCTTAGAGCCTGGGCTGGTGGTGGTGTGCCGAGCAAAATGGCCTTGTGTGGTATGTTCGGCACCTGTGCTGGGGGTTGCTGACCCCTGTTCTATACCTAAATATAACAGGTCCAAGTTATGGATTCAGTAGTGAACCACCATTCACTTTAATGGTGCTGGATCAGTCCAGTAGATGATGAATACTACTATACTCCATTACTAAAGCAGTTTGATGATAAAAGATATGACAGCAAGGAAGCATCAATAACTCAGAAAAGCACATGGGGCCAGGAAATATTTCATTCTCTGCTATACTGAATGCAGAAAATCAGGTATCAAGGGGTCACTTTCCTACCCCGCAAATAGGTATGTTCTCTGAATCCTACTTGAACTCCATCACCTTCAACAGCAAGGTCATGGATGGTCTGCCCCCTCTGAGATTGGTAACTGGCCAGCTATGGTAGGAAGATCTCTACCCATAGATATTACACATCCATCAAAGCACACAGACAAGGTTTAAAATCTAATCTACATTCCTAACAATACTAGCTGCTGTCAATCAGCATCTCAAAAAATGAGCACCCTACTGCAAAGTAATGCAAACTCTAATAACATTTTACAGTTCATCACTGGCTGCTAATAGGGTGCAACTGGATGTGAGCAATGCACTGGTTGCCTTGGCTCATGCATGTTGGACTTGCATAGTCTGTAGCCAGTGGCTATTTGTTGTGGTTAGACTGAGGCTGCCATGTTTAGGCAGATATAGCAATGCAGAGAGCTCCAGGCAATGACTCTCCTCTCCTCCCTTCCCCCCTTCTCGCCTCCCAGCAGGATGCCAGGGAAATTAGGCCTTAAAGTCAATCCATAAGAATGTGTTTAATTGCCACTGAATTCCCAGTGGTTCACCTTGAATGGATGAGGATAAGCTGGGGGAAGAAGCATAAGAAAGAAGCCGAGCACTGTTCAGCTGTTCAGAGAGTGTTGAGTGGATCAATAGACTGAGAGACTCAGGCACAAAGGGCAGAGGGACCCCCAGCTCACGGACAATGGTGTGCCTCCTACCATGTTCCTAAAACCTCCCCTCGAACTGGAACAGCTGAAAGCTTCTCCCTGCACTTTGTGACATGGCTTCATGAACCCTGCCATACTTCATAAACAGCCCAGACTACTCATCTTTAACTAGCCATCCTTAGTTAAAACCCCCACTCCTATTGTATAGGTCCTGGTTCAGTCAACAGGATACAGCAGTGACCTTGGTCGGGAATGTTTTTCTGTCTGGGACTTCTTTAGAGAAGAATTGTATGCTATCTATGGTCATGTCCTAGCTCAATGAGGGCCAACCTTTTTGGCAGGTGCGCCACAAATCAGCTCTGCACCCTCCCTGAGCATCACTCCAATCCCCTTCCCCTGGCTAAACAATTGCTCTGTTTTCTGCCCCTGCCCAATCTGCTCCTCTGCTTTCTGCTTCCTACCATATGTTCCCTGATCGATCTCAGACTTTGCTTTCTGCTTCCTTCCTTCTCTGCTGTTGTTCTGCCTTTGGAAACTAGAACTATGCTTCAAAGAGCCAAATCTTGTCTCCTGATAGAAGTAGATCCCTACCTACCCTGAGTTCTTTATAAAGCCTTCACATTGGGAAAGACGGGGATTTTTCACATATAGCCAATCTAGGGACTGTCGCAAGGCCACACTCAGGATCAGGCTCCTGCCAGGACAGCGAGTCATCCTGAGTCCCTGGCCCTTCTCTCTTACCTTCTTTCAGCATCCCCACTTTGAGGCATTTCATGAAGCGACAGGCCTGACAGGACTTGCGCCTCCGTTTTGTGATCTCACACTCGTTGGTGGCTGGGCAGCTGTATTCAATGTTCCCTGCAATCAAACAGACAGAGAGTCACCCTTGCTCTCCTCCTTCAATGGCAGGAACTGCTTTAATGGCCATTGTACAGTCCATCTGGTTTGTGCTGAGTAAAGCCCAACAGGCCACAAGCACCACCAGCATGCATGCTACATATTCATTCATTCATTCATTCATACACCCAAGACTGAGTGGTTAATGAAAATGTCACTGGTGAGTGTCTGGGGTAAGTAGACAGGCTGGGACCCATTTGTCAAAAAACTGTACAAATGCAATGTTGAAGAAAAAGCAATGCCTGCCCTGGAGCTTCAGTAGAAATCCAGCCTGCAGGGGTGACTGTAGATGCCAGGTCTTTAGTCATATGATACCATGGTAAGCAAGATCCACTGCTTACCACTTAAGCAACAACTTTAGTACAAGCATATATCACTTACTACTGTAACCCTGGGCCTGGAAGGCCAGCACTTAGCACAGGCCCAGTTCAGTTCCAGGGTATGTCCCAGTCCCACCATTTCACATGATGTTTGTGCTTTCCTGTCCGCTTTAGAACTGGGTCTGATCATTCCCATCTTTTGCTTCTGGAGCTGGGGAAGGCTATTTCCAGTGTGGCTATAGGGCATTGTGATCCAGCACATTACAGGGCAAAGAAAGCATTGGGTTTGTAATGATAAGCTTGTTTGATGCATTTCAGTTCCTGGGACCTGAACACAAACCTTCTTTTTGGTTTCACTGTGTATGGCATTTGGCCCCCCCAAATCTTGAGTTTGAATCCATGGTCCAAATCAACCCGAACACTGAAAGCCGAATGCTTTTGAGTTTGGCCTGATTCCGGGTTAAAATCATGAAAAAGTATAAATCCAAACAGTTTCCTCAGAAACTATAAACTAAACCCAATTCTCCTGAAACCCAGTCCTGGATGTGGCAGAAGTTGAGTGACCCTTGGCACAGCTAGCTCAAGGATCTGGTTACTGAAGGTAGAAAGAGCCTGGTTATGTTGCAGATAGGTCCTCTCTTGAGAATTCTGCTAAAGGAGATGGGAACTTCCCATTCCATAATCTCCGACTGCATTTTTATTGACCCCTGGCCACACCTACCTCTTGCCCCTTAGCTCAGCACAGTGTCCCCCATGTTTGCAAACACATTCTTCACTTTCACCCTTTTCTGGGAGTCACCTTTCTCTTCAACTGCTATGGGCCTGGTTTTCACTTCCAAGGCTTAAAGGGCAAAAGAAGCATCCCAAGTTCATGCCTGCTTGCACTGCATACTACCATGAGCCAAGAAGGCAACACCAGACACGGATGCAGTGGCCTGACACAAAGATGAAGGTATTGTGATGTTAGGTCATGGAGTTGCAGAACAGTTATTTAATCCTAAAAGACAACAAGCAGAGAGACAGCTGTCTTTCTGCCTGCCACTCCCTCTAGAGATGATTTTTCTTAAGTGGACTGCTAAATATGTGGAGTGAAAACAGGAGGTTTGTAATCCAAAGTTGACAACGATGTGATGTCAATAATGTATTTCAGGGAGGCAGTAAGGCTGGTGGTTAGAACGAGATGCTCAATCAGGTTTCCTTGGTGTGACACTCAAGTTGGGGAGGATTGTGTTTCTGATGGACTGGAGCAGGAATCAGTGATTCAGACTCCAATGTTCCACTCACAGTCCTGACAAGGAGTGTAAATTAACTCATGAGAACAAAGGTCAGGGAGTGAGGACCATTGGATTCTACCATCTCCAACTAGATGGTAGGTGGAGATTGGCTTCGGGGAGTTGGAGCAGGAAATCCCTGGATTCTTTTACTGGAACTGCAGTGGACTCTTGTGGTCTAGGGCAAGACTTTTCACCCCTGTCTAATGGCAACTGTCCAATGGTACCTACTAGCCACCTAGAATGAGAGAGGTGAAGTTTAATTAAAGCCCATCAAGATGCTGATTGGAAGCGTGCTAAAGATGGACAGAGCAGGGAGACTCAAAATGAAGGATGCACCATGGGATTCATCTCGCAGTATTATGCTGAAGAAATCTAGACCCTGCTGGGTGACCTGGTGCCAGGAGTACTGTAAGTCCCATAGGATAAGGACTGACTGCATGTGGATCTTCTGCCTTCAGTCTTGTCTCGTATGACCTGTACCCTGATCTCCACCATGATGGCTGCCTTCTCAGGCCTTGCCCTTCTGCACACTCACAGCCCTGCCATCCCTGCGGAATGACACTATGCAGAAGCAGAAAGCAGTGCACAAGTAGCTTCTGTTGCGTCTATAACTCATGAAACGACAGCACTTGAATGACAATAGCCAGCCACATATCAAATATCTCTGAAAAATGGAAATTAAGATTCAGGCTTGATCCCAAGGTCATAAATGAACTCCTCTAGATATATGCACCCAGGAAGCCAAAGGCTCAAAAGCCTCAAGGCCCTGGCCACAAGCTCATACAAGTGAGGAAATGGAGCAGCCTCATCCCAAGAAATTTGGTCTATACTGCCTTCCTGTTTTCCAAGCAAGGACTCATCCCCCGACAAGTCCCATCGCTTTACACAAGTTTGGAGTATGGCTATCACTTCTGTTTTGCATCAGGCACCAAGTAATCATCTCATTATGCAGCTATAACCTATTGTGTTGCTATGCAGTTTGCATGTTCTTATATGACGGCTCATCCTGCTATGGCTCAAACTCATCACATGCTGATTGAAGGATGACTCTGGAGTTTCCCAGAGACCCTGGTCTGATGATACAGTTGTCAAGCAAGACACTGGGACACATCCTGAGTAAGCTCCAATACTATCAGACTAACCACCTACCCTGCAAAGACTAGTGTGTCCATGCATGTGTCAATGACATTTGTGCACAGCAACCACTTCAGAGCCAAAGGATGCTTGTCACCGGGGTTTGAATTACGGGGGAGCTCAGGGAGGCTTGACCCCCCGCCTCTCATAAGAAACAGGAGCCCCTCTGTAAGATTTGAAAATCATAACCTGGGGCATCTCTGATTTTATTAGGGCATTGTGATAGGCAGCCCAATTTTTTTGCAGGCCCCACAGTCAAAGTGCAATTTGAACCCTGTTCATTACCTCTCAGGCCAGCCCTTCAAAGTGACAAAACAGTGGTCCCTTGTGTAGCAGACTTTTTGCCTACATGTTCCCCAGGTAGCCAAACCACACGCCCAGAAGCTGGAGTTTCCTTATTCCACTTCCACACTCTATATGTACTTCTAGGCTCCTTTCTTATCTTGTGACAGATTCTTCCCCGCCTCTTGCCTTGTGCCTTTATTTGTACCTGTGCAAAGTAGGTGGCATATGCCACCAAATCAGAACAGCAGCAATTTTATACCTATTTTGTGTGCAAACACAAAGAGCCAAGCCAGCTAAGGATCAAGCTCATTGTGCTCCCTCTGACATGAGTCCCCCACTGAGGTAAGAACGCCATTCAGTTGTGCAGAATTACATTGGGTGTACACTTGGCTCAAAAATGTGTTATCAGCTGTAGGCAGGACTAAGTGCTATAGCAGAGGAAGATTCCTTTTCTTGACAGTGCTCTGTAGTTTGGGAGGAAATAAGGACACCACAGAGGAGAGAAAGACGCAGTCAGCGTCAGCCAAGCAAACTCATCCAAGAAAAACAACTATCTTCCCAACTTTAGCAAAGTTCTTTGACTTTTTTTTTTTTTTTTGTCTCTCAATTTCTTTTATGGGCCCTGTGGCAGGCTGCCAGCACAGCTGAGCTGCTCATACTGCCTTGTAATTTTTATAAGTGCCCTGTGATAAAGTGATGAGATTAACTCATCGGAATTCCAGCAGGCTCTCCGTGGCTGGCGGTCATGCTGCCAGTGCAGCCACCATGCTCTGGGTGCTCTGGGGAAGGGAGGCTAGCAGGACTCTGGGCTCGCTGTGACAGCTGGGGGAAGGGAAAGGAGGGAGAAGGCCATGCAGGTCAACAACTCCCTGCAGAACAATGCACCTCTGCTCAGGCATGAGAGCCTGTATGCATGGGTATGCATTTGTGGCAAGTTTGCATGTGCATTGGGTATTAGAAGGCTGGAAAAGGGGTTAGGCTGACCTTCTAAGGGAGCTTTCTTTGCCTTAAACAGGTGTTTATCTCTGATCCAAACACAGCTGGTGGGATTCCCCTGACATCACTGTACATTATTTACCTCAGAAATGACTTGACACTGCCAAAGGCAGAGCAATTAAAGCAAGGCTCTGCCCTTTTCCTAGTTCTGCCATAGGTTTGTTTTGTGGCCACAGGGCGAATAACATCCTCTTTCAGTTAGCCCTGCTGTAAAAGGGAGCAAACACTGGCCCACCTTCCAGGGGCCTGCAAGCCTGAATTCAGTAATGCCTGAAATGTACATTGGGGGTTTTCAGCTGGGGGATGCTAGGACTGGGCAATGGACTATTAACACGTTAGATAGTGGGATTTCTTTATGGTGGAGAGCGCTAAAATGACCTCATTTTCTGTAAAATGAGAACTAGTGGCTGCCAAGAAGTGTGTAGCATAATTTCCAATGTACTCATATGCACTTATATGGAGAAAGTGCCTGCAAAAAAGCAAGAGTGCCAGCTGCAGCTGCACAACTCCACCTTTTCACTGTGTCTAAAGAATGTGTTGCTGGGACAGGGAGGAGCGAGGAATGCTCCCCTGGGCTCCGAGAACTTGGCAGCATCCCACAAAGCTCCTGTTTAAGAGGTCTACTGAGCTTCTGTTGCAGAGATGAGCTCAGAAATAGTATGTCAGTGAAAGGCCCAATATGGACTGCGCCTCTGCTTATCCACTTATACTGATCCTGCCCTCAGCATGCATGCTGGTGGTGCAAACATCTCCAGCTTACTGGGGGGGATGTCTGAGGAATCAGACACAGAAGTTTCTGGGAAACTCCTCAAACTAAAGCTATTCAGCTTTAGCCCTGAGTCGTCTTTTTCATGCTCCCCTATCCTCTTCTGTCATTCTTCCCCCTTCACTGCTTATCTTTTTATCTCTGATTTCAGTTTAGTTGCTGGACTTACTTATTTGGATCAGATAC